AAGTCGTAAAGTAAACGCGTTGGGAATTACATTTAGGTAGAGTAAATTGTGAAATTTAATGCTAGTGATTGCAAATAGTAAAGTGCATTGTAATTGAATTGTGAATCACTGAGTAAATAAAGGACATTAGATAAATTCTTTGTAACGAAACAAACTGCAAATTAAGTTGGCGAGTTTTTATTTAACAATCCAGAGATCGTACCCGAAGGATTTAGAAAATCATCGAGGTTGATTTAGTAAAATCGTAACAATATATACGCTTAAAGGTTTTAAACAAAAAGAAGAATAATTCATTTAAATTGAACGAAGGCTAAGAGGAAGAAAAATAAGAGTACTAAAAATAATCTAACTTACAAACGTGTTTCCATTATGGATACTGTGCAAGGCGAAGCCGGTGTTGGTCCGGCTGAGGATCAGAATCTCAAACGCGCCAACTTATAAGGGTGCTTTACTTAAGAATACTGTACAGGGTGAAGCCGGTATCGGTCCGGCAGAGGGCTACAATCTAAAGCGCGGCCAAAGGCCGCCAATTTATAAAGATGCTTTATTTAAGAATACTGTGCAAGGCGAAGGGGGAAAGTATATACATATTGTATATATGACTTTTGAGCGGTAATCTAAATACTTACAAATTATGCATCAAATTAAAGATAATTTTGTACTCTATTTAACTATTTAATTTTAAGGAAGGGTTACCACGGCACTCTTTAAGCAAAGTACAATAATATTTTTTTTGTAAAAAAAAATATTGTATTAAACTTTTCGTTTTTTGTTAAAATATGTGGAATAATTAAGTGCATATGTGGCATATATGAAGATATTTAGTTACCTCTCTAGCGGTGCCACTTTTATGAAAAACGGTTAAGTACAATAGTTTTGAAAAGATGGGTATAGACTGTTAAATTCGTGGAAAAGGCGGAAACCTTGCCTACTTATTAATTTTTACCATTTTTTTTTTTTACCACTCCCTGCGGGTTAGGGGCTCAAGTATTTACCCGCGGTAAGACATGCCTCTCGTAAGAAGCGACTAAAATCCAATAGTTCCCGCGACAGTCGGGTCTTTATACCGGAACGACCCGGATTTTTATCCGACCAATGACTGTCACTCCCGCAACATTCCCCAAAAAGTACTTTGGGGAATAACTTTGCGGTTACAACAACAACAACAACATTAATTTTTACCGGTGCGAGAAGAAGGTATTCTGTACTTGTTCCCAAAGCTACACATGAAAAGTATCATGATGAGTGTTATCAAATGCCGATTACTTCGTTTCTGTTCATCCACGGGTCGAAGGTGACAAGTTAAGCACATTCGCGCCACCTATGAGTGATTTGAAAAGAAAGAAAACAGACGAATTAGTATAATTCAAATACTTTTTTTATAATAAAGATAATTACAATGACATATACCAGTATGTGTATAAATTAAATGGTGGTATAATCTATTTATATTATTACCTTGTAATTCTGGAAAAATCTGGATACTTGGCGGCTGGCACGTCTTCCTTCGCGAAGGTTTGAAAAATATATATTCAACGATTTTAGCTTTATATAATTGCTAGCTACCGAACTGTTTACTTAGCGAAAGTATTTATGTTTCCTATTAGGGCGGGTCGACAACGTGTGAACGTGTGTGGCTTAAACATGCCGGCCCCCTTGCGATATGCAAAATTCTTCTGGGCGTCCAACCACCGTGTCTTATGGTTCACTTAAATATTACTTATAACTGGAATTTTTGCCTTCATCTGGCATTGAGATTTTATTATGTGTCTAGAATCTAAGATATGAATTCAAAATATACGTGGTTTAAAAAATTTCAAAGCACTTTATTCAATGATTTTGCTAAATAAATAAGAAGACTTTGTTGTAAATTAGAGAATCTGCAGTTTATCAACAGGCGCTCGAAAGCACCCATCCAAAAATGGTGCGCCAGTAATGCACCCATTGTCCCGGCTGCTGGCATTCCTAATAATATTTTTGAATATACACCCTCATCTAGCACTTATCGGACTAGTGCCGCTACCGTTTCAACAAGGGACGTTGTGGGGGCTCGTTTGTGATAATTACGTACCAGAACTGCGTGTGTTGTTACCGAAGTGGAATGTCCATAATTTCCCCGAATTTCAATAGAGTAGCCCCGCTGCTGGTTGACTTCAGTGGCTCCCAATCGTAGCTCGTTTATAAGGTCCTCCGAAATCATTGACGTTGAAGTACATGGGTTGATAAGCGCACGGATTTTATTTAGGTGTCCTATTGCTTCTATTCTTATTAAATCTGCTGGTTAGACCTCATTTAAACATTGCAGCGTATATGCAGTTCCTTCTCGGCTTTGTGCTAGGCCGGTTCGAAAGTTGCCTCTTTTTTGAAGGTGGAATGCCTGGGATTCAACTCTTCCGTCTATTGATCTAACGTCATCGTCATCATCGGTTTCGGTTTTTCCGACAGCAAAATCTGCATGGATTAGTGCATGGTGTGGCTCATTGCACCGCCGACATTTTCCTTCATTACTTTATTTCCTTACTCGATCTATCCCAGCTAGGCAATTAGAGCAGTTCTTCTGGAAAATTTGCTCTGAAAACAGGGTATAGACGAAGCGAGTGTTTATTTCTGCAAAACCTGCACGTCAGCGGGTGACGAGCTGCTTCCCATCGCTTGCACATTGTTGTGTATCTTGTCATTTTGCTGTAAAAATGCGGATGTTTGTGACTACAGACAAAACGAACATCATAAATTTGTATATTTGGGCGAGCAATAAAGTATTAGATAAGCACTCTATCGATATTCATAAATCAGAACGTGAAACTTAAAGACAGAAAACATCACTTTATTGCTGTAGGGCGAGTAAGTGCTTTGAGAGCATTTTTTTTTAAAGACTAAAAAAATTTACGGTTGCCATATCTTTTACCTTTCAAATAAAACAAACTAATGTTTTGCCCAACCGCGAAACCTTAAGAAAAGATGTGCAGCACGTGGGTCTCATCTTACCGGTGGGTTCTGAAGAAACACGTAAGCGTGCGCTCAATCTTTACAAAGTTCAATCAATTTATCTGAGTTGCATGAAAAATTTGAAAAACATCGCAGCGTTTTTGATGTATATGTTACTGTTATGCGGTTCACAAAAGGTCAAATAAAGTCGAAGGCGACTGTAGAAAACTGGAAGCAAGACCGCCATATGATAACGTTACTGGAGGGGGAACCAAGAACCAAAGTCCCCCAATATGCTAAAGTTTACACACGGCGTCGAATATTGCTATAATTTTCACTTAAAATGTAAAATGGAATAGATTAAAATTGAAATAAGCTATTTGTTTACTTTAATTGGCCATTTCATAGATGAAAACGTAAGAGAAACTAGTTCGGCATTTATGCTTCATTTCGGACACCCCATTTGTAGCGTACTCGTTCCCGGGCAAAAGTTGTATCGTGTAAGCGATGCGCAATTTAACTGTAGAACAGTATCGAAGATAAATGTGTGTGATTGAGAAAATGGAATTTCGTGAATGGCAGCTACCATTTGCCAATGTTCATACACTGTCGGTCGCGGGTGTACACGCCGGCGAGGGACATAGGCTGCAACTACCCATTTCACTCAGCAGCCGTCCATAACTGACGACGTTAGTAGTGAAATACATACACGAGCTATCGACGCCGCTGAGAGCGGAGAAAGGTTGCCTGCTGCCTGTTTGTTTGCACACTTTTGAACAAATTCATAATTTTCGTCAACAAATTTCAAAATTTATTTGCTTGAACATAAACACAAGCAAATATACATGATCTATATGGTAACAAATAATTAGTTACGCATTTATTTTTCCTTTGTTTTGAACAAAACTACGCATTATCTTCGATTATTTAATGTTACTTTAAGAAAGGCTATACTGGCAACCTTGTATAGCAACGAAAAATGAGCCGAGCTGGTTTCACGGAAAAATCAAAACTTGGTTGGTTTCTGCGACACAAACGTCAGCAGCGCTATGGGAAAGCGGTGATAACTTTGTGTTTACAAGGCGCTCTCATAAGATAGGTTACTATGGACGGCTGGTACGCGCGTTGGGTAGATGCAGCCATAGTGTGACAAACATCAATCCGGAACCCAATCCGATAATCGAATCTAGATATTGTTTCACGTACGTGCCACTGCCTGTTGAGAATCTTCTGCGATTGTCAAAGGTGAAAATAGAATATTATAATAGTCTTTGGAATCACATGACGGTGCTGCAATACAACCTCGAGCTGGGCGATTTGATTCTGGAACTGCAGATAATGAAGCGATGTTTCGATGTTGCGAGTTGAGCTCTGTGCCGACGAAGTATTGAAGGTAATTATACAGAAGAACGACTTTTGCTAAAACTGTCCAAAAATGATAAGGGCGTTCTCGTTAAATAGGTGTATTTGATGATTATCTTTTCATTAAAGGTGGGGGAAAGCTAAATTTTGCAATAGTTTTATTATTATTGATGTCAAAAGTTGCACTAAAATTACTCTAACACACTCAGTGCATACAAATACAAGTTGCCATACTGCGGAAGAAATCTAAAAAAAAAGAGCAATGCATAATGCTGCACCTACCCAACGCGCGTACCAGCCTACCATAGTTACCTATCTTAAGAGAGGTAAACACAAACAAGAGGCGTCACGGCGAGATACCTACACGAGTTATCGACGCTCCTAAGAGCGGCCAAATGTTGCCAGCTTCCAGTGTGTTTACACACTTTTGAAAAGATTCATAATTTTCGTCAACGAATTTCATAATTTATATTGTTACGATTTTACTAAATCAACCTCGCTAATTTTCTAAATCCTTCGGGTATGATCTCTGGATTGTTAAATAAAAACTCGCCAATTTAATTTGCAGTTTGTTTCGTTATAAAGAATTTATCTAATGTCCCTTATTTACTCAGTGATTCACAATTCAATTACAAGGCACTTTACTATTTGCAATCACTAGCATCAACTTTCACAATTTACTCTACTTAAATGTAATTCCCAACGCGTTTACTTTACGACTTTACCGATATTAACGCCAACGGAGCTCACTTTGTAACTAACTTAACTTGGCAGCTGAGTGTCCCCTTATATAGCAGTCGGCTGCTCGCAGACGAAAGCGTAGAAGCATCGAATTGTTCGCTATGGAAGGTTCTTGTTTTATCGTTTCTAGAATGTACTAGTTATCGGCTTCTCTCTTTCATCTGACATGCTCCCTGCGGTAGCATCCCAATAGGAACTGCTTGCACAGCAAAGCATTATTGCTCCTTAACTCGTAGCATAGATGCTTCCCTGTGCAAGTGATGCTCCGGCGACATCAAGAGGTTTCCTGTCGCGGTTCTGAGGGCGGTGTTCTGACAAGCCTTTAGCTGCGTTTCGCTCGTCCCCGGCGCCCAGATCGGTGCAGCATAGTTAACGACCGGCCAACCAATTGCTTTATAAGTAGCCGGCAGAGTTTCTTTGTCTTTACCCCAGGTGATGTTGTTGTTGTTGTAGCGGTTCGCTAACCCCGCTTAGGCACAGGTTTAATCAGTCTAAGTCGCCGAGGTCATCTAATAGTAGGTCCAGGAAACGAGCTGTTTCGCCGGGGCTTGAGCAGATGGAGAGGGGGGTTAGATAAGTTGCTTTGAGAGGACATGTGAGGAGGTGGTTAGTGTCGTGCGGAGACTCTCCACATGCACAGCATACGTTGGGTATGCTGGGGTCTGGTCTAGATAAGTAGGAGTTTACCCTGCAACAATATCCAGACATAAGTTGTGTCAGGGTCTCTCGAGGCAGCACGAGTTTGTTTTTTGCGTTAGGTGGTGGATTTTCTCCGAGTACGCAATTCACTGGTTCGTCCCCGGCGCCCAGATCGGTGTAGCATAGTTTACGACCGTCCGACCAATTGCTTTATAAGTAGCCAGCAAAGTTTCTTTGTTGTTATTGTAACCGCAAATTATTCCCTTTTTTCTTTGTCTTTACCCCAGGTGCTGCCGGCTGGCGCTTTGAGTGTTTTGTTGCTGCTCTGGAGTCTCGCGGCAATTGCGGTCGAATGCGGAGTGAAAGTGCAGGCTGTCTAGGGTTACTCCCAATATTTTTGGGTTATATACCGTCGAAATTTTTTGTGTCATCGACCTTCACATCCAGTTCAAGCCTGTACTCCTTCGTCCAGCTGGTGAAGAAGTGGGAGAGATCAGCGAGGCAGCCGTTCACTTTCGAGCAGAAGTCGTCAATATCCTGGCCAGACGGCATTATCGTACAATCATCGGTATAAGAGGTTAGGGAAACTCCTTGTGGTGGTAGAGGGCGTTTCGAGATGTAGAAATTAGACAGTAGTGGGGAGAGGCCACCACCCTGCGGAACCCCCTGTTAAATTTTGCTGGGCTTAGATGTTACACCTCGGAATATTACCGATGATTGTCGACCACTCAGGTAGCCCATGACCCACCTCTGCAACCCCGGCGGTAATGAGGATTCCTCAATGTCCGTTAGTAGCACTGAGTGGTTGACTGTGTCAAAAGCTTTTGACAAGTCCAGTGCTACTAGGACAGTTCGCGCGCAGGGTCGGTTTTGGTTGAGGCCATGGACTATCTGGGTGTTTATGGCGTTAAGTGCTGTTGTGGTGCTGTGCACTTTTCGGAAGCCACGCTGATGCGATGCTGGACGCAGATGGTGAGTGAAGGTCGGGAGCAATAAGGCCTCAAGTGTCTTCGCTACTGGGGAGAGGAGAGTTATCGGCCGATAGGACTCTCCTTTGTTGGCTGGTNTTGCCAAGTGGATTGTTTTAAGTTGGTAATCCAATTGTTGTGCGGGCATCTCGGTATTGTGATATTGGAAATCAAACTTATCTATAAACTCGTGATGAACACGGGGTTGCGATTGCTTCATTCTGTATTCCGCGACAACATAATTAATTTTGCTAGAGGTCTTGTTATCTCTCCCTTTTCGGTCATGAGATCGGCTACCCGTACCTGATTGTCAGGACCGTGATGCAGCTTGATCCCTCTTCCTAGTCTCCACTCGTTGGGTGCTAGGTTATCTTCCTTTATGAAGACCAGATCCTTCATTTCCACGTTAGTTTGTGGGTGTGTTCATTTTATGCCCTTCTGAAGCTCGGTAAGATATTCGGTTTTCCATCTTCTGCTGGTTCCAAACGCGATTTTCCTGAAAAGCTGCTTAAAACTGCTAACGCTTGATTCCCATAGACCACCCTTGTGTGGTGCGGCTGGTGGTACAAGATGCCATACTTCAGTTGGTGGGAATATTTTGAAAGAGTGTTGCTGCGAGCATTGGGTCTTGAGTTCTGTCTTCAATATCCCCTGTTTATCAATGAATGGATTTAGAGAGATTATTTCTCCAGTTTTCAAATTTACGATTTCCGCACCGTAATGTTGCTTCTGAGTAATTTTTTAATAAGCGCGTTGTCGTTGCCTTACTCACATCGGCTGAAATTAAGAAAGATTTCAGCTGTTCGGAAGCTTGTGTATTCGGATGGGTTTTTTGAAAGAATCTTAATACATAAGATATCACTTCCAAAGCCCTTGGAAAACTAGAAAATCGATCAAGAAAGTCGTCTGAATTAAAACTAATTGCTGTTTTGTGAACATTAAAGCGTTTTTCTTCAATTTTGACTGGAGCTACTCTAGTTTTTGCTAAAAGCAAAATGACAATTACCCTTTCTGGTTGTTCGACGAGTAAGTAGACTGCGGCTGCATATGCCATTTCGGAAGCGTCGCAGAATGTTTGAATCTTTTCTCTCTCTTTTGGTGAGAATTCTACCCACCGAGGAATGCAAATGTTATTTATTTCAATATAGTTTTTTGTATAATTTTTCTGCTGTCGTTCGACATATACTTTCATCCCAGTCCGTGCCCTCTAACCATATGCTTTGCATCATAATTTTTGTAGAACTTTTGTGGGTTTCTATGGCCTTGGCTGTAAAACAAAAATGATCAAAGTGAGCATTCCACTAAGAGTCGAGTGTCTTAACGCTGTTAGTATCTTCAAACTTTAAAACGTCCTAACTCAGAACATCTGATTTTTTAATTCCTTCTAGTATTTCAATGCAGTTGGAAGTCCATTTTTGCAAAGGGAAACCGGCTGAATGTAGAACGGAGATGATTTCATCTCTACCTTTTATCGCGGTAGCGATGGTATGTCCTTCAGCTAAGACGTCATAGGCATACATATGATTACGTAAGATGTTCGATAAGGCTGGGTATGATGTTTTGTAATCATTAGCTAGTTGTAATAATGTCCTTATCGCGAGGTAAGGAGCACAATTTATGCCAAAGGTCACAATATTAAGTTCATATAGAGAAATGGGCTGATCTGGGCTAAGTCGATCAGCGTTTACGACGATTTGCTTACAAATCTTCTCAATATCTCTATTGAAGACGTATCTAAAGAGTCTCAATCGGTGAATTAATAGAGTCAAATCTGATTGAAGTATATTCCCTGGGTATAAAATGTTATTAAGACTAATGCCAGTGCCTGTTTGCGAAGACGCATTAAATACTACCCGTAATTTTGTTGTTGTGCTTTCTTCGTTTAACACAGCGTGGTGAGGTAGGTAGTAGTTGTCAACTACATCTGCTGACTGTATTTCAGTGATTTTTGACATGTGACCCATGGTTTCGTATTCCGATAACACGCGATTATATTCCTGGTATAGTTGTGGATTTTTCTCTCAGCGCTTTTCATGCGTATCGAGAAAAAGCTTTTCTCAAAGATGGCCCTAATGTTGGGCTATGTGTGTTTAAGACGTTTTTCTTAATGCCGTTTAGAATAATTTGTGGATATATGTCTTTGCCGAGAATTAAGTCGACCTGCTCGTTAATAAAGTATCTCTTATCAGTAAGGATAAGATCTGGAAAGGGTTGCCGAGTAAGTGCGCTACTCTGACACGTTGGCAAGTTTCCAGTTAATTGAGGAATTACTAAAGCCATGGTTTCTAAAGAAATCAACGGTTCTATCGGTGACCGCAACTGAATACCGCAAGAGATTACCTCTCCAGAAACCGAATTGTGGATGCTCGAAACTTGGGCATTCAATTTCCTGGTTGGCAGGTTGGTTCTGCGTCTGAGCCTTTCCATAATGAACGAACACTCAGAGCCAGAATCAGTTAGTGCTTTTGGTGAAAGTTTGTGCCTTCGACTTCGACACGGATTGTACCTAACCAAATACCTTTGTTAGTATTAGAATGATGCGTTTTAACATTACTAACCGTTTTGTTTCTGCCTTTTACAGAGTCTCGCCGTGCTTGAGCCTGTCTGGATGTGGAAGGATAAGTATCTAAAATTTCAGAAATCTCACTGCTGCTAGTTGCTTTTGGAAGTTTCGACTTAACGT